TTCACACGTACCCCAAAACCTAAAACGCAATAAAATAAATGGGAAAAAAAAAAAAAGAAAGAAAAGGAACTCATCCTCAAGTAAGGGAGAAAAGGGGAAACATCAAATAAACACTTGACATTCGGTGATGGCTTTGTCTCCACTCATTCAACAAATATTTGGTCAGTTCCCATCATGTACTTAGCAGAGTCTTAAAAACTGTGGGAAATACAAATCCCTTCCTTGAGCTTGCCTTGATAAAAGAGAGAGAGAGAGAAAGAGAGAAGGAAAAAGTCAAGCACCTAGCAGAGACAGACAGCACATTCCCATTTGAGTGGACATAAGAAATGACTCTTTGGGTTCTTATTTCACATCGAAACAAAGAACTATTCAGTGACAGCAGGGACCTTCTCATTTCCCGAGTGCCAAAGCAAACTTCTCTTTTGCCAAGGCCACGTTAAACTGTACCTTCAATCCTTTCACAGAGCTTATGCAAAGAGTGCATCGGGCAGGCCTCACACAGTTTAATCTGAGTCTTGGCACTCTGCAGGGCAGCCGCGGTACTGAAGGCCTGTTTCAGAGTCAGCATTACCTCATCAACCTACAGGAAGAAACAAAACTCAGGTCTACAAAGGTTAGCTTGCATGGCAACATTCAAAACTCAACAGCAATGTGAGCCTTTGTTGATGCTGACTAAACACTAAACAGAATTTTGATGACTACAGAGCTAGCCAAGAGAAAATACTAAGTCTTGAGGTGAGACGTATCATACATATAATTGAAAGCTGGATGAAGTAAGATCATTTCAATGTGTGTAATATAATACCGCTCTGTTAATTCTAAATTTAATGCTATTTTCAGATTGCATTGAGGGCTATGCTCTTAGTGACAGTTTAATTAGTCAATCCTTCTTCTGTATAATTATGTAATTTATCAGATAAAGATCCTTTTGGAAGTTTTATCTACCACTTATATGAAACAACAAAATAGGTCCAATATTCACTTTGTGAATAGGTATCCTATTTACTTTACTCTTCTGGATTACTTTTAGTGTAAAAGCAAACAAAAAGTGTTAAGTAAAGTCCTGGAGAAAAATGAGTTCCATTTAAACAATGGTGGGGAAAGTCTGCGAGCACTGCTGGCTTATCCCTGTAACTTCTGATTGATTAATATTATCATTCCGGCCAGGCGCGGTGGCTCACGCCTGTAATCCCAGCACTTTGGGAGGCCGAGGCGGGTGGATCACGAGGTCAAGAGATCGAGACCATTCTGGTCAACATGGTGAAACCCCGTCTCTACTAAA